GGATGAGAGACGAAACGTTTCTACATTTTTTTGTTGATTTGCTTTGTTTTGTTTTTTTGAATGTCCAGAGGACCAGATTTAACTTTTTTAAATTTATTACAGACTTAAAAAACTTAATACAAGATACATTCTTAAATGAAATTGGGTAACTATTATTATATTTGTTTATCCTTCACAAGAAGACAAGATAGAACTTTACTGATCCTGCAGAAAATTGTAGTGCCAGAGTTTCAATACTAAGGAACATACACAAGGAATCACACAAGATATAAAAATAGATAATCTCTTGGCCTCCAAGATTCAACTTGTCTGCTGGATTTCTTAGATAGAGAACTTTACTAATTGGCTTTTATATGTATGTGACTGTTTCTGTAAAGTGCCCTGAGACAACTTTGTTGTGATTTGGCGCTATTTAAATACACTGAACTGAATATCTAAAACAGGTCAGGTGCAGACAGAAACATTAAAGTGTTTATTGTGGTGCAGGATTCATTTTATTGTTCTATGTGTAGAAAGTGGGAGGAGTTGAAAAGTTTGAGAGCCACAGGGAGGAAGGACTTCCTGTGGAGTTCTGTGGAGCACCTCGGTGGTCTCAGTGTACGACTAAAGGTGCTGCAGTAAGAGTCCAGGGTGTCATGCAGGGGGTGATGTGTTGTTCAGGATCTGGAGCAGTTTCCTCAGCATCCTCTGCTTAGACACATCTGTCAGAGACTGCAGGTCCACTCCCAGAACTGAGCCAGCCCTCCTCATGAGTTTATCGAGAAGAAGTGAAAATAAAGGAATAGAAAGATACAAACTTAAATGGGCTGAAACAGAATCATGAAGACGAGTTCGAAAAATGTCCACAGATTATGAAAATCCCACATTTGGATGAATTTTACCAGATTCTTCTGTGCTTTGATTTTCCCAGATCCAGTTATATTTTTCCTGCCTGCCTGAGGACAAGATCCCATACGTCAACAGTCCAGGAGAGAAGTTCAGGGTCAAGCAGCTCCTCTACCAACTGCCGCCACATGATAATGAGGTGAGAACATCTTGTGTGCAGCTCCCAGCAGGTCCTCTCATTGTGTGAATTCTTCAACAGAAGCATTCACATTATTGTTTTATGATCATTTCTGCTTATTTCTGCAAATTTCAGCTATTTCAGCTAGCATTTAGCTGTTTTATGCTAATTTCATATTTTTCAGCTAATTCCACATTTGCTGCAATCATTTCAAACTTTTCAGCCTAATTCAGCAAAATCATGCTTCCTTCTAGTAATTTAAACTTCTTTCTGCTTGTTTTAGCTACTATTCAGCTGTTTTGAGCAAATTTCAGCTTTTCTCAGATAATTTCCACTTTATTGTGCTAATTTTTACATATTTCAGCCGTAGTGGGCACAATTAAGCTCCCTTCACTTCCTTAAGCTTCTTTTTAGATTTCTTTAGCTACTGTTAAGCTGTTTTGTAGAAAATCTAGGATAACTCTGCCATTTTTTAGAGCTATTCAACTGAAATTTGGCATATTGGCAGGTGACAACAATCCCTAATAAACTCTGACTGAAAAATCAAAAATCCAAGATGGCCGCCTTAGCAAAAAAGGAAAATGTACTATCAAGCAGCCAATTTTAGTCTTTTTTTTCCATCCAACCTTTATTTAGACAGGTAAATCCTATTGAGCCTCGAGGACTCATTTACAAGAGAGACCTGATTTGATATATGATTTGATTTGACCTGATATTGAGCTGAAAGTTGGTGTCATGATAACTGTTTCCAAATGCCCCATGAAAATCAAAAATCCAAGATGGCCGCCATAGCAAAAACAGGAAAATGTACTATAAAACAGCCAATTTTAGTGATATTGAGCTGAAAGTTGGTGTGATGATAACAATGTTTCACATCAAATGACACATGAAAATCAAACATCCAAGATGGCCACCAACGCCACTTTTGAATGGATTTAATTCAGCCACTTTTACACATAGAGCTAAAATTTGGTGAGGTTATAGCTGAGAACATTCCCTATCACTTACTGAATCCAAATCAAAAATCCAAGATGGCTGCCTTAGCTAAAAAGGAAAAAATACACTAACTCTGGCATTTTTAGAGCGATTCAGCTGAACTTTGGTATAGTGGTAGCTGAGAGCAAACCCAAACACATAGTGTCAGCAGATCCAGAGTTTACATCGGCAGCAGCCTGGCAGTCCATTACATTAGGAACAATTGTGCATGTTTTGCTTCTTTCTTATATTTGAAGCTTCTTTCTGCTGTTTTAAGCTACTTTTCAACAGTTTTCTTGACATTCTTAAGCAAGAAGCATTCACACTTGCATTTTCGCAGGAAATGCAAATTCTCTAGTTTACATTGCAGCTGCAAGAAAAGACCTCAGCAGGTTGTTTGAGTAGCTGCAGCTCAGTAATCCCACACGTTAAACGATCTCTGTGCCATCCCAGGTCTTGGCATCACACCTAAGGGGACTTTTGTTCCACGATGTATTGTGAGCACAATGTAGCTTTTGATTTGATGATTTTATGATGTTTGCCTGAAGCCCCCACCAGCAGGATTCCTGTCGTAGCAGTGCTTTTTTACGAGGACTTCTCAGCAGGAGAGTGGGCTGCTGGTTAAAAGAGACTTTCTGTGATGCCACCACTGCAGTGGCACCACACTTTGACTTGGCTGCCTCGCTCTTTGTTTCCCGTCCTCCTCACTTCACTCTGAACAGAGCGCATGCTTGTGTAAACGTCTGCTTTCCCTCTTGTTGAGGCTTTGGGAAACATCAAAAGGACAGTTGTAAAAATGAGCTTCTCAGTCAGGGACCGTAGGTGGAGATCTGTTGGCTGTAGGAAGGATGAACTGGGGTCAAAAGTTGCTTTGGTTCAAAAAGCTCTGGCATTCACTCTGCTTCTGTCAGACTCTGCACTAATGTCACTTGATAACATTCCTGCGACTCTGGATTTCATTTAACATGAATAACACTTAAATCACATTAAAAATATTAGTTTAGATTTTGTGAAGTGTGGTTCTCTGGAAAGGTTCTGGACAATTAATACTTTACCTAATGGAGAGATCCAAGTTTGGAGAAACAAAGTTTGATCCTGACAAAATTGACAATCTATCAGTTAGGCTACAAGCAAAGTGGATTTCCAACATCTTCATTCTCAGAACTTTAATGTTAACATTAGCTGATAAATCTTTAAGCACACTGCAATTATTCTGGCAGAAATTAAATGTGATTCCTGCCCGAGGTGCTCCAAGCTGCCGTTGCATTTTGTCCTGTATTTGCCATGTAATAATAAACTGATAGTGATGTAAAAAAATTTGCATACCCGTGAACTGCAACATTTTTAAATTTAATTAAAGATGGCAGTAATCAACCTTGATCTGTGCTGTTCACACCATTTATAGTACAATAAAGTTTCAATTTCTAAATTGTTCATTGAAAAAGCTTTAAACAGGTAAGATAGATTCATGACCTTTCCAAAGAACCAAACATCAAAATATAACTTGCTTTAAGCAAAATATGTTTCCTTTTGTATTTGGTCTTTAGTAATACAGTAGGCTGAAAAGATAATAATAAATTAGCATAACATTAAAGAAATCAAAAATTAAACAAGTGTGAGTGACTCTTAAACTGGTCTGAATACCTACATGTGGCTTATCTTGGTTCCAGGTCCGGTATTGCCAGTCTCTCTCAGAGGAAGAGAAGAAAGAACTACAAATTTTCAGTGTCCAGAGGAAGAAGGAGGCATTGGGCAGAGGCATGGTGAAACCGCTGCCCCGCAACCTTCTGAACAGCATTTGTGAACACGTAAGTTGTAAACATTTTGTCTAAAAAGCTGGTTTGGAACCAAGTCTCCATTTTTATAGTTTATGTATTGTACTGACAGTACAGGGAGTGGTGGCGCAGAGGTTAGAAAAGGTGGGCCTGTGATCAGAAGATCAAGTTCAAGCCCCGGTACAGACAACATCAAAAAATGTGGGTGGGGTAGGTGGAGCACCCACACCTGCCCCCACCCTCATTTGTCCCACTCTGGGCCCTTGAGCAAGGCCCTTAACCCCCACTATCTGCTCCTCTGGGTGTCCTAGATAGCAGCTCTCTACTCCACAGGGCTGTGGTAGCTCGGTGGTCTGTGGTTGCATCAGGAAAGGCGTCTGGCGTTAAAAAAAATAACTGCAAGTCTTCGTGCGACTTAGTTCGCTGTGGCGAGCCCTAACGCAAGGAGCAGCCGAAAGAAGGGGAAAATAAAAAAAGGATTGAACCGACAAAGAAAACGATGCTTTTAATGCATTTCCTTCATCAACAATTGTCCAGTCTGGGTTTAAATTTAGTCAAAACTTTGAAGAAAAGCAGAAAAATAAGTCAAGTTCAAACATGCTGTTTGGGTGAACACAATATGCAGGTTGACAAACTATGAACAATAAACCCTCTGAACTCACCTAATGTGTTAGAAATAGCTAGAAATTATTGCAGTATTTATTATGATCAATCAGCCAGGAAGTACCCATAAATTGTTTTTAAAGCATAGTTATATGTAACCGTCATAAAAAGCACTTGTGCATTATAGGATGCTATAATAAACCAGTCGTCTCTGTTGATCACAGTGTGGTGAAAGCATCAATGGTGGGGAAATGGCAGCGTTTGCCTCAAGAGCGAGTCCCGAGCTGTGTTGGCACCCAGCATGCTTTGCCTGCTCCACTTGCAGTGAACTGCTGGTGGATTTGATCTACTTCTACCATGATGGAAAGATCCACTGTGGAAGGCACCACGCTGAGCTCCTCAAACCACGCTGCTCAGCCTGTGATGAGGTATAACCACTGGAGTGGGAAAAAAACACTGTAAAAATTGGAGTGTGGGAAAAACCTGAAATGTATGGCTTTGTTCATCTGGAATAGCAATAACAATAGTCTTTATAATAACAAAAAGACTTTAGTCTTGTCTAAAAAAATTTTTTTCCATAGATCATCTTTGCTGATGAGTGCACCGAGGCAGAGGGTCGCCATTGGCACATGAAGCACTTCTCCTGTTTTGAATGCGAGACGGTTCTGGGAGGGCAGCGGTACATCATGAAGGATGGCAGACCATACTGTTGTGGCTGCTTTGAGTCTCTCTATGCAGAATATTGTGAGGCCTGTGGAGAAAACATTAGTAAGACAATGCTTTTCTAGATGCAACATTTGTCAGTTTTTTGTCTTTTAAACAGCAACTTGTCTATAATCTGAAAATTTCCTTTCCTAGGTGTTGATCATGCTCAGATGACCTACGATGGGCTCCACTGGCATGCCACCGATGGTTGTTTCAGCTGTGCCCAGTGTAAGAGCTCTCTGATTGGTTGTCCTTTCCTACCATACCAAGGTCGTATTTACTGCTCCAAAGCCTGCACTCTTGGGGAGGACGTGCACGCCTCTGACTCTTCTGACTCCGCCTTCCAGTCGGCACGCTCACGAGAATCCCGCAGCAGTGTGCGCTTAGGGAAGAGCAGCCGCTCAGCCGATCAGTGCAGACAGTCGCTGCTCTTCTCGCCATCGGTCAACTATAGGTTCCCTGGCGTTAGTGGAAATGCAGAGGACACCCTGACCAAGATGATAACTCACAGGAACTTGTCAGATGAGCATTTATGGAGGGGCCATGAGGAAGAGACTGAACCACCTGAGGACCCAGAGGAGTGGGCTGAACATGAAGACTACATGACTCAGTTGATATTAAAGTTTGGGGAACATGGGGTCTTTCAGCAAGCCAGTGACTCTAGACCCACTGATTTCTGGATAGCTGAAAAGGATGCCAAGATAAAACAGGAGTGCTCAAAAACTGGCAGTGGTGGTGGAGCAAAAAGTGGTGGCCTGGCTAGTAAGAAGTACCAGGCTGACATGTACTGGACGCAATCTCAAGATGGGCTTGGGGACTCTGCCTATGGTAGTCATCCGGGGCCTGCAAGCAGCAGAAAAATCCAGGAGCTGGAGCTAGATCATGGAGCTGGCGGTGGTGTCCAAGGAGAGGAGCCAAAATGGTACACTGACTCTATAGAGTGCATCACAGATGAATTCAAGAAAACAAATCTGAGTGTCCGAGGCTCCATGGAGTCACTTGCTCTCTCCAATATTACTGGTGAGTATAAAAAAATCTATGTAGACACATATGGGTTCATGTTGTTCCATGTATTGACAAGGACTTGTGTTGATTTTGAACCATTTTGTTTTTTTTCTCCTTTTCAGGGGCGTCTATTTGTGGAGATTATATGACTAGACCTCAAGTATATTCCTTGCAAAACCCTCGTGAATTTGAGACAGAGGATTGTGAGAAAACCAGTAATATGGGAACTCTCAACTCTTCAATGTTACATAGAAGTGCAAACTCTCTAAAGAGTCTTGAGGAAGAGGATGTTCCAGAAGAGGAAGTACCTTTGCAGGACAGACCCAAACCTCATATCCCTGCCCTGAGAAGAGCACGCTCCCAGTCTAGACCCCAGCAAGTCAAGTTCTCTGACGATGTGGTAGACAATGGTCATTATGGTGAGCTTCCATTGCGACAACCTCCTATGAGTGAACGGACTCGCCGGAGAGTATACAACTTTGAGGAACACAGTCAGAACCTTCAATCTGGTCAACATAATCATCATCACAGGAGGCGCAGGAGTCGCAAATCTCGCTCTGACAATGCCCTTAATCTTCTGCCTAAGGACAGAGCAAAAATATGCTACAAAGTGGAACACCGAGGCAGTGCCATGGGACCAAAGGCTCATCAAGTCTTCCAAGGTCAGCCCAGTGCTGCTGCGCTGACAGACTACAGACTACACAGCCCAGCTAAAGGGACGTTCCTGGGACTTTATGGTGATGATGATGACTGGTGTTCGACATGTTCATCCTCCTCCTCTGACTCTGAGGAAGAGGGCTTCTTTTTGGGTCAGCCCATACCTCAGCCCAGGCCACACAGACATTACTACATGGAGAATTTGGCCCATTCTGTAGCCTGCATGCCCTCTCCTGCTTATGACCAATGGACTAAGTCCAAAAAGAAAAAAGGCCACAAAGGGAAAAACTGTATCATTTCATAGACTATGCTGAACTCTATGTAATGCTGCCACTCTCAGCTTGCCTACTGTAAAACACTTCACATCGCTCAGTTTACCAAAATGGTTGTTATACACTCAATTTATTAGTATATGGCATTGCAAATTGGTTTATTTCACATTTATTTAACAGGGCTGGTGAGACGCATTAACTGTAGAGTGGGGGGAAAATAAGTCTTTTGTACCTCTGACATGCCTTTTTAACACAAAAACATGTACATTTAACTATTGGCAGTTGATGGTCATTTAATATGGGTAATATAAATTAAACAAATTTCTTGTGTTCAGAGAATACCGAGTGTGTTGCTTTCAGGTGTGTGTGGCTAATATAAAAGCACTGTGTGTATTACATTGCTTGGTTGAGCAGTGTATTATTGGGTCATTTATTGTAAGCAATTAAATGTAACTTGTATAAATGTACAAACTGGAAAGTAAGGCCATAATAGGTGACTGTTATAAAAAGTCTGCATAAGTTTTTTTTGTTTTTGTCACAGGCATATTAAATGACATTCTGGGAAAATGTACTTGTTTATTTTAAGATCTCATTCTTTTAATTTTGAAAAGGTCTATTTTAAGCCTGAAGCATAAAACTACAAGCAACTCGATTCAAGTACAAAAAAAAGACAAAAACAAACTATGAAATGTTTCTTTATAAAAAGTATTTCACTGGAAAACATTACAGAGTTTGGCCCTTTGTGTACGGGGTGGAAAAGGCTTGTGACAACAGAAAAACAAATCTCATGAGTTCACAGAAAATAAAAAAAGAGTCAGGGTCCATGATTTACTTGTATTTTCTGCCACAGCTCTGGTCAGCAGGAATCCAAGTACCAACAGGCAAGAGTAAAATATTTCTTGATTTTATATATTTAATATTTATCAGTTCACGTTGATACTTCAATGTAATATTTGAATGATGTCAACAAAATACAAGTACATCTCAAAAAATTAGAATATCGTGAAAAAGTTCATATTTTTTGGTCAAACGTTTCAGCAAGTGAAACTCATAATTCATTACACAGAGTGGAATATTTCAAGTCTTCATTTATTGTAACTTTGATTTTGATTATGGCTTACAGATCATGAAAAAACAAAACTCAGTCTCAGACAATTTGAATATTGTGATAAAAGTTCCATATTGGAAACTCTCAGATGAATCACACGCGCTACAAACGTCTCATTCCTCAAGTCCAGCCACTCCTGAAGCAGAACCATCATAAGTGTCTTACCTGCTGAGGAGACAAAGGACTGGACTCAGTGGTTCAACGTCCTCTTTTCAGGTTAAAGTAAATTTTGCACATCATTTATAAATCAAGGTCTCAGAGTCTGGAGGAAGAGGAGCAGTCCAGAATTCACATTGTTGAAGTGCAGAGTGAAGTTTCCACTTCATTTCATTTCCCAGCAGGACTCGGCTCCTGCCCCACACCAACAAAGGTACCAAAAGTTGGCTACGTAATATTCTAATTTTCTGAGACACTGGATTTTGTTTTTTCATTATTTGTAAAATATAATCATCAAAATGACAAGAAATAAAGGTTTTAAAAATGTTGTGCTTCGTGTGATGAATCTATATAATATTTAAGTTTCATGTTCTGACAATTTTTTTTTTTTTACTTTTTCACAATAATATAATTTTTTCAAGCAAACATTCAAAGTTCAAATAGTAACAATTTCTTAAAGACTGTACTTAGCATTTACATCCACATCTCATTTCAATATTTTGTCACAACACTTGAAGGTATTTCATTGTTCCAACACATCCTTTAATCAGTAAATAAAACTAGTTTCAACACATCACTGTTTTTATCGCTCTAATTTTTTAAAAATAAAATTGTGATGCTTTTAACAAATCAGTTATTTGACTAAAAGCATGTTAAAAACTTACCAAATAAAAACATCCTTGAATTGAGTAAATTCTTCACACACAAGTCAGAAGCAGCATGGTACAGGTTTATTCGGAGTTGTGTGGCAGCTCCAGTATCTCGTCCAGCTCCGTCACAAAACTCTTCAGGGCAACAAGACAGCGCTGTCGGAGCTCGAACAGGTTCTTATCCAGCGGTGCCTGCAGCACACTTTCTAAACTGGGCTCCTTGTCCACCAGCATCTTCACCACGGTGCGAAACGTCTCACAGTCCTGGCTGTAATGCTGCACATAAATAAATTAATCAGGCGTGCAGCACAAAGAAAACTAAGTGACATACATTCATCTCAAGTCAAATCTTTGGTTTAGTGCAGCTCTGCCTTCATGATAAAAAACTACTGTACATTTTGAAAGAACAGTTCAAGTCTTTTTATATGGGTTTCTGTGGAAAGACTGTCCAGGGTGCACGTCAAGACGTATCAAAATGAACGTTGCGTGAAAGTGTGCGTAAATGTATGCACACTTTAGACCTGCCGTGAGAATGTGCTTATCTCTATACAAACTTTTTCAGTCCACAGTTTCAGACTGCAAACTACTGAAACTCATGTAAATACACTGAAGTATGACTCTGGTTTTCTAAACTTAAAGGATATTCAATCATGATGTTTATTTTTATGAGTTTGGTCATTCATGGTTTAAATTCAAGCAAGGAAACTGAACCACAGTAAACCTCCAACAACACAACATCTAACACACCTCCAGAATGATCCAAACCACCTCACTTCACTGTAAACTGTAAAGTTTCTTATATTTTCGTCACATGTACATGTAAACACACACGTCTGCGAGGCACAGAGAGAGGAGGAGCATAAAGTGTGTGTGAACTGTGTCAGGAGCATTTCATTCTCACGGAGAAGAAAACGATGTCAGATTAGCAAATTAAGTCAGAACACCTCATCTCTGATGACTCCTCAGGTCAACATGTGTACCATCACATATCTGTCCATGAACATGTGAGTAAAGTTGTACGTAATGTGGACCAGTAACAGCTGTGGTGCTGTAGGACGACGTCACCAATAGAAGAATTGAGAGGCAGCGTGTTTTCAGGGATCACAGCGACCAAATACTGATCAGGTCTTTCTCAGTTGTCCCTGAGCCGACTGGATGGGATGACTTCATCCATATGATGCCCTGACAGAGAAAATGTACCCCCACCGCCGAGGAAATAGAAAATACTTTGTTGATTCTCGTTGTATCGTTTTGTCAAATCAAGTATAAAAATAAACGTTTAAGTTTTTAAATGCCTCGTGTTTACAGTGATTATTTATTAAATGTGTGTAAAGTTGGAAAGGTCTTAGAAAGGATCCACCTGCAGATCTGATCCCCCTCCCACGCCTGTTTTCTTCATTCAACAACAAAACACACTTTTTTACATGTGTGGCAAACATGTTTCTCCACCTAGGAGCATCTCTGGTTCACAGTCAATGAAATTCTTCATTTTGCTGCATCTCCACATAAATTAGCAGCACGCACAGACAAGAATCCCACATGCAGAACACAACTGCGTCTGTTTTACATATTCAGATAGAGGCGTGTCGACGGAGGAGTCGAGTATTCCCTCATGTGCGCTCAATCCCACGTTGATCGCGATGTACAAAGGAAGTGTGCTTGGAATCATGCATACATGCACGGTTTCATACATGTGGATTTATCTGTGCGCATGCCATGTTTCAGCAGGAAATCCACTCATGTCTTTGTACAAGAGGCCCCAGGCCCCCTCACTAGAGCTGCTGAGTGGTTTAAGACTACAAAACAACAGAGCCCAAATCCATTAAATTTATACTTATTTGGTTCAAACTGTTGAATAGTCCTTAGACATATTTAATTTGTAATCTATTAGTTTTATTTATTTATTATATATGGGAGGACACCCAGAGGAAGACCCAGGACACGCTGGAGGGACTATGTTTCTCGGCTGGGCTGGGAACGCCTAGGGATTCCCCCAGAGGAGCTGGACCAAGTGGCTGGGGAGAGGGAAGTGTGGGCCTCCGTACTTAAGCTGCTACTCCCACGACCTGACCCCGGATGAGTGGAAGAAAATGGATGGATATTATATTTGGGTCATCTGCTCATAATAAATAGCTAAGTGGAAAAAAGAAGTAACTCCTCAAGAGAATTCAATTCAAGTGTCGGGAAGAAACTGTTCAGTTGAAAACAAATGTTTTTTACGGAGTTTAGTTCTAAAACAAAAATAATACAAAAAATGACAATATCATAACTAATTTCACCTGCCTGGTTAATGTAAAGAGAAACTGTAAATTCAATATCATGCTGCTTCTGAACTGTGAGCCCTGTGTGCTGCATGCGTATGTCCTATAATAAAACTACTGTATTTTCCAGCGTACAAGTCGCAGCGTTTTGCATAGATTTGTCAGTACTTGGACTTCTATAAGTTTCTTTTTTCCATATTCATAACACAATTTTTGACTGACACTTTAAATTTTTAAGAAATTATGCTGTTTTGAACATTAAATAAACGCGACAGGTCAGCAATGATGCATAATAAACGCAACAGGTCAGCGGTGACGCATAATAAA